TAGAAGTTATTTTTCTCATCTACTAATTTCTTATTTTACATGGATACTCTTACTAAGCAGAAATTCGTTCATGTCATTTTCCTGAACGAAGCTCGATTCATTAGTCACTCGAAGTATGACTTGCACATATGTCTTCAATTCTGACCGTTTGTGCGATACTCTTTCTGTTATATTTCAGACAGTCTTTGCAGAAACAATGCGTAAATGATGTGTTTTTCCGACAAGCAGCATTCCGATGTGTGCCGCAGGTTGCAATGAGAGATTATGACTTTGACATAAAAGTTCATTCATCATAGTTGGTCTCTCAGGTAGTTCGGTGAGCCGAAACTCATAGATGATTCACATAAAAATTAGAATTTAAATTTAAATTCATGACTCAAGAATCTTTGCACAAGTCTGAGACCAATAAAAAAGAGCTGTCATGCTACGTTCGGACAGTTGCCCAATATCGCAGCCATTGAGTGCGATTTTGTTTGCCCGTGGGTTTGTTGCTTTGAAATTAAACGCCATTTATGCGACAACGAACCTCATATTAATTATGTTTGTCCATCCAGAAAAGCAGAAAATTCTAATTATTCTTCACACGTACATTATAAACTCTGAACTAATAATAATCTCTTATATCGGACTCATATTGTTACTAAGTATTGGACATTTTGTACAACCTACACATCTATAAAGCATGTGTTGTGAACTGTAGCTAAAGCGTGCTTTCTTTGCTTGTGAGATATTTCATACCAAAAACATTTGCTTGAAACGTCGTTTTCATTACCCTCTGTAGCCTCTCTTCGTCAGAGAGTCTGCAGTTTATGAAATTTTCGATTCGTGCTCATCGTTCAAACACTTTTGCAGCACAGTTTTTGCTCCATAGTCTAAGTCAAAGTTCTCTACTGCTTTAATGGTATCTTCTGCAAGTTGATTTTTCCTGTCTTACTCTTCTGTGTCATGGTCGGTTTTTGGCACTGTACTGCGTGGTATCAAGGTTGTTAAGTCATCATCATGAGGGACTTCTAGAGTATAAACAGCACTGTAACCCAGGGTTATAATATATTACCTTCAAAAATTGTATATTACATTAATATTATGTAGGGTTAGCTTCTTTTGCAAATGTCCTAATTTTCCTTACCGACCCGTGAATGCGGTTCATCATGGCGAATTGTCCGAACTTGATCCGTTCGTTTCTTTATTTCAACGAACTCTCGTACTGTGGATAATGTGAAATGGACATAAACGAATGATGAAAAACAAAAAATGAATGAGTGTTTATTGTAGAGCGTAAGTTACATATAATGTATCCTCATAATTCGTCAGTCTTAAAGGCAGGCAAATCGTCGTAATCGGTAGTATCGCATTTGTGTGTATTTCAGGAATTGTAAAATAACTGTTTTGCTTGTTTTAAGGAAGCTAGCGAAAATTTTCTTGAATGGCGCGAAGGGTTGTACGTTCCACCAGTGATTGGCAAGGTTCTGCTGTCAAGGCTATCGAAAAAGTTTACATATGTTTGAAGTCTTGAATGCACTACTTGGTAAAGCTGAACAAGTAAGGAGTTTTCTCTTTGAATAATTTGAATTTTCTATTTAAAAAATAATCCTGTTTAGTTGCTTGCAAAATATCAAGTAAAAAATCAATCCGAAAATGGGAGATATTTGTGCCAATCGCAGTGTCGTGGTTTCTGGGGTTAAAGACTAACGCCGACAGATGAAATGATGTAGCTGCTGCTCTACACTACACGTTTTTTTGCAGTCAGACACTACCACTTGCTTTGTCTTGAAGGCTTGTCAAGTCCATGCGAAAGCATCCCTCCTGGCGAATGTACAACAGAGCAAGTTTCTTGCGTTCCTTGTAGATATGTTCTTTTATGATGTATTTTCTGTATATTTGC